AAAAAAAAAAAAAAACCAAATAAAATTTGGGCTATTATTCCTAAATGTAGACATAAAATCTAAACATGCAGTGGTATATATCTTGTTATTAAACTGCTTTAAATCAGGCATGGCGGTCTCTGCGTGCAATTCCAAGGCCGAGGAATGCTTGATGCCAGGAGTTCCAGACCAGCCTGGGCAACATAGTAAGATCACTTCTGTACAGAAAATTTAAAATTTAGCAGGGCATGCTGACATGAGGCACACACAGCAAGACTATCACCAAAAAATCATTTAAGATAAATAAACTGTTTTCACATGAGTTAATCTGCCCATGCAAAAAATATCTAAGTTTAAATTAAAACATATGAATTTTCCTTTTAAAGACACAGTCTCATTCTGTTGCCTAGACTACAGTGGTATGATAACAGCTCACTGCAATCTCCAACGACTAGGCTCAGGCAATTCTCCTGCCTCAGCACCCCAGCAGCTGGGGCTCAGGCTTGTGCCACCACACCCAGCAATTTTTTTTTTCTTTTTAGAGATGGGTCTTGCTATGCTTAAACTCCTGGCCTCTAGGTCAGGCATGGTGGTTCACGCCTATAATCCTAGCACTCTGGGAGGCTGACGCGGGTGGGTTGCTTGAGCTCAAGAGTTCGAGACCAGCCTGAGCAAGAGCAAGACCCCACTCCTAAAACTAGGCAGGCATTGTGGCAGGCACCTATTATAGTCCCAGCTACTCAGGAGGCTGAGGCAAGAGAATCACTGAAGCCCAAGAGTTTGAGGTTGCTCTGAGCTATGACACCATAGCACTCTACTGAGGGCGACAAAATGAGACTCTGTCTCAAAGAAAAAAAATAAAACTCCTAGCCTCAAACAATCCTGCTTTGGCCTCCCAAAGTGCTGGGGTTACATGTAGGCATGAGCCACTATGCCTGGCCTATGTATTATTTAGCTGTGGTACAACACACATAAAGTTTACCGTGTCAACCACTGTGAAGTGTATAATTCAGTAGCAGTAAGCATCACTACAAACTTGAGCAACCATTGCCACTATCTACTTTCCAAACTTTTTTCCATCATCTCGAACTTTGTACCCAAACTTTGCATCCTTCCCTCCAGCCCCTGGTAATCTCCAGTCCACTTTGTGTCTCTATTAATTTGTCTATTTTTTTTTTTTTTTTTGAGACAGAGCCTCAAGCTATCCCCCTGGGTAGAGTGCCCTGGCATCAAAGCTCACAGCAACCTCCAACTCCTGGGCTCAAGCCAGTCTCCTGCCTCAGCCTCCCAAATAGCTGGGACCATAGGCGCCTGCCACAACGCCCGGCTATTTTTTGGTTGCAGCCATCATTGTTGTTTAGTGGGCCTAGGCTAGATTTGAACCTGCCACCTTAGGTATATGTGGCTGGTGCCTTAGTCACTTGAGCCACAGGCGCTGAGCCTTTTTTTTTTTTTTTTGGGTGACAGAGTCTCACTTTGTTGCCCTCAATAGTATGCCATAGCATCATAGCTCACAGCAACCTCAAACTCTTGGTCTCAAGTGATCCTCCTGTCTCAGCCTCCCAAGTAGCTGGGACTACAGGTGCCCTCCATAACGCCTGGCTATCTTTAGAGATGGAGTCTTGCTCTGGTTCAGGCTGGTCTCGAACTCCTGAGCTCAAGCAATCCACCAACCTTGGCCTCCCAGAGTGCTGGGATTACAGGCGTGAGCCACTTGTGCCCAGCCCAATTTGTCTATTTTTAAAGTACCTCATCTAAGTGAAATCATACAGGGTTTATCCTTTCGCATCCAGCTTATTTCACTTAGCTCACGTCTTCGAGGTTTACCAAAACTGTGGCACGTATCAGAATTTCATTTCTTCAAGGCTGAATAATATCCCATTGTACATAGACACCACTTCTTATTTACTCATTCATCTGTTGACGGACATATGGGCTAGTTCCACATTTTGACTATTGTGAAATGAGGTTGCTATAGAATCTTGATACACAAGTTACTTGTTTAAGTCCCTGCTTTTAAGTCCTTTGAGTATACACCTAGGAATAGAATTGCTGGGTCATAGGGTAACTCTACATTTAACTTTTTTTTGAGGCAGAGTCTTACTTTGTTGCTTTCGGTAGAGTACTGTGGTGTCACAACTCAGCAACCTCAAGCACTTGGTTGAGGTCAAGCAATTCTCTTGCCTCAGCCTCCTGAGTAGCGGGGACTACAGATGCCCACCATAAAGCCCGGCTATTTTTAGAGACGAGGTCTAGCTCTGGTTCGGACAAGTCTGGAACCTGTAAGCTCAGGCAATCCACCTGCCTCGGCCTCCCAGAGCGCTAGGATCACAGGTAAGAGCCACCACACCTGGCCCCAACACTTAACTTTTTAAGAAACCTCAAACTGGGGTGGTGTTTGTGGCTCAGTGAGTAGGGGCACTGGCCTCAAATACCGAGGGTGGTGGGTTCAAACCTGGCCCAGCCAAACTGCAACAACAAAAAAAATAAATAGCTGGGCGTTGTGGCGGGCACCTGTAGTCCCAGCTACTCGGGAGGCTGAGGCATGAGAATCACCTAAGCCCAAGAGCTGGAGGTTGCTATGAGCTGTGATGCTACAGCACTCTACTGAGAGTGACAAAGTGAGACTGTCTCTTAAAAAAAAAAAAAAACCCTCAAACTGTTTTCCAAGGCACATACACCATTTTACATTCCCATCAGGAATGCACAAGGGCTTCAATTTCTTCACATCCCCTCAACTCGTTATTTTCTGTTTTTTTAATATTTTTTATTACGGCCATCTTAATAGTTAAGAAACGGTATCTAACTGTGGTTCTCATTTGCTTTCCCCTAATGATTAATGTTGTGTGTGAAAAGGATGTAAAGGGGCTTGGCGCCTGTGGCTCAAGACGCTAAGGCGCCAGCCACATACACCTAAGGTGGCGGGTTCGAATCCCCAGCCTGGACCCGCCAAACAACAATGATGGCTGCAACAAAAAATGGCCAGGCGTTGTGGCGGGCGCCTGTGGTCCCAGCTACTTGGGAGGCGGAGGCAGGAGACTCGCTTGAGCCCAGGAGTTGGGGGTTGCTGTGAACATGATGCCATGACACTCTACCCAGGGGGATAGCTTGAGGCTCCGTTTCAAAAAAAAAAAAAAAAAAAAAGAAAAGAAAAGGATGTAAAGGAAGCAATTAATAATAACAACAATAACGTTGAGAATCATTTCGTACACTCATAGGCCACTTGCATTTCTTCTCTGGAAAACTATCTAAGTTCTTTTCCCCCAATTGTCATTGGGTTGTTCTTTTCCCACTGAGTTCTAGAAGTTCCTTATAGAAACGTAGGATGTTAGTTTCCAGATGTTAATTCCTTATCACATGTATGATTTGCAAATACTTTCTCCCCTTTTTTGTAAGCTGTTTTCACTCATTTGATATTGTCCTGTGAAGCATAGAAGTTTTTCAATTTTGACAAATGCAGTATAAAACAATGAAAATAAAAAATAAAGTGGTCCCCAAATGGATAGTTTAAAAAACCCAGATAATACCAAGCTTTAAGGATGTGGAATAATTGGAACACTCATGTATTTTGCTAGGGATATAAATTTCTTGAGAAAATTATTCACAAGTATATACTCAGTATCCAATGATGCAACAATTCTTTTAGTTACCTTTAGTTCCACAAAAGAATTGGGTCTGTTGGCCAAAAGACATATACTAAAAATAAATGCACTGCTTGTTAAACCCCCAAACTGGAAACAAGTAAACTGTCCATTAAAAGTAGAGAGGATAAACTGTGATACAATCGATACAATCGTATGTTATAGTAACGAAAATGTAATTTTACTAGATACTGTTAACTTTTTTCCTCAAGAAAGCCAACAGAGCCTATTTTTCTTAATTTGGAACATACTTTCCTTATGATTTGTTTTTATGTATTTTTGTTTGTTTGTTTGAGACAGACTCACTTTGTTGCCCTCGGTAGAGTGCCATGGCGTCCCAATTCACAGTAACCTCAAACTCTTGGGCTTAAGCAATTCTCTTGCCTCAGCCTCCCAAGTAGCTGGGACTACAGGTGCCTGCCACAACACCTGGCTATTTTTTTGTTGCACTTGTCATTGTTGTTTGGCAGGCCTGGGCTGGATTCAAACCCGCCAGATCCAGGGTATGTGGCTGGCGCCCGAGCCGCTGAGCTACAGGTGCCGAGCCATGACTTGTTTTTAAATGAACAATTTGGCAGCATATTTATCAAAGTCAGAATTAACTCCTATTATTTAACTTCACTGAATTTGTGCCAAAGCTATAACAGTTCAGGAGTCTCAGCCCTACTTCAAATCACAAGAAACACAGCAGCCTTTGATCAGTAATCCTGAGCTCTGCAACTGTTAATATGCAGTGCCTCGATTTAGAAGGATTTCAAAGCCAAGTGGTCTAAATGTCTGAGAATTTCGATTGTGTATCACTCACCTTTGCTTTTAAAAGGTCCGACATTTCCAAATGATTATTACATAGCCTCTGCTGCAGCGGCGGCCTGTGCCTCACCCACTGGTCACCAGGAGAACCGTCAGGAAATAACTGCTGACTGTGGCGGAATTTGGTTCGACTAGATATCAAGATTTTAAAAACAGAAATTCGATCAGAAAGTTTTCACTTACAATTCTTTTTTTTTAAATTTGAGACAGTCTCACTATGTCACCCTTGGTAGAGTGCCATGGCATCACAGCTCATAGCAACCTCCAACTCCTAGGTTTAAGTGACTCTCCTGCCTCAGCCTCTGAGCAGCCGTGGCTACAGGCACCCGCTACAATGGCCAGCCATTTTTCCTTTTATTTGGATACAGTTGTCATTGTTGATTAGCAGGCCCGGGCCAGGTTCGAACCTGCCTGCCTCAGTGCATGTGGCCGGCACCCTACCCACTGAGCTACAGGCACCACCCTGAACACTTTATTTTACAGACTGGCCACTGTGCTTTCTTATGTCCTGTCTATCTCCCCACACGGGGTGTACGTGCCAAGAGCGCAGAGCCTTTTGTCTCCCATGTCTGCACTTTATCCCTAGCACACAGAAAAATCCTTGGCATTCAATAAATATTTCCTAAATGAATTAATAACCTATTATTTCATCCCAGACATTTAAAAGTTATCCACACTATCTCTTCCCCATAAGTGATTATACTATATTATATTATATATAATTGTATATATATTTATATCTTTGTATATTTGTATTATATCTGTATATCTGTATTATATTTGTATTATATCTATATTATATTTGTATATAATTGTATATAAATTATACTGTCTGAAGAAAATAATTATTTCTAAATTTAGCAGACATGAATGTAAATAGATTTTCCTTATTAGTAGGACAAGCAACTCATACTCTAAGATGTTTAAGGCATGGAATTTGATCCTGTACAGGTCAGCTACGGATCCCATGCACACTGAAAGACGATCTGAGAATAAAGTTATTTTCTGAAGCAAAATATTAAGGGGCACCACGAGGTAGGGTGTTTGGCACACCTTGTGTGGGGGGGGACATAACCACAAGAGGGACTCTACCTAATAAAATCAAATATTTTGGCCTGGTTGTATGTACCCTCACATTAACCTGAGATAAATTTACATAAAGTAAAAATAAAATAAAATAAAAATTAATGGGCACAAGACAAGGGATTAGCAAATTAAACAAAAATCCAGTTTCAAATTCTTCTGCAAAACAACCTGACGATGACAGCCTGTCCTCATGTGATAGTCTGCAACTAAGATAACGAATGTCATTATGTTACCACATCCATGTGACATCCAAAGTCATAGATCCCAAGAATCACATCAGAGTGAGTTGCAGAGTATTTCAGAGTTCTCCTTTCCTATTTAAAAATTACAATTTCAATCTTTCCATCTTTTCTTTGGCTAAATTCAGATATTTCCTCCAACACATCAGAACAGACATTAGTCTATATTCTAAAAATATACACAAAAACCTGAAAATTGGTTAGAGAAGCTGCTTTACCATCTCCTTACCCAGACCCCTAGTCTAAAAGGCAAGGGGCTCACACCACAGTACGGTGGCTAGATTCTGCTAAACATGATCAAACCATTTTTTTCAAACACTCTCATTATTTCCTAACTTTCTGGTAGTGTCTTTGTTTCTTGTTAATCCTGGCTTCATTCCTGTCTCCCTTAGGTCTTCTTCCCTGCTTCACTTGTTTCTGTGGTGTATAATTTGGTGATTACAGCCATGAATTCTGAAAGCCATCTCCAGGCATCTCGTCTGAGCTCCTGTCCTCATAGCATCCATCCGAAACAGAACGCTGCACTCACAACTATTGATACGCATGTGTAGCTTACTCCTATTAATTTCTGAAGCCCTATGATAAAAGCAGGACATCCAAATTAGAGAAAATATAAAACTTTCTCTCTCTGGAGCTAACACACGCAAAGTCCTAGCAAGCTGATTACAAAGTTATATGCTTATTTAACAAAGTTACTTCCCCGGCCTACTCTGTAATCATGATTTGTATGCAATTAAGTTCCAAGCAAAAAAAAAAAAAATGTTTTTCACCTTTCACGTCCATAGCATACTCTTTATAATACACAATTTATGCTCAGGGAAGAAAAAAAAAAGCAAACCCAAGCCTTCATCCTTCTTTAACAAATTATTCACCAGCTTTTGCCATTTCCTCTACATAAAACAGACCTCAATGCATCCCAGCCGCTGTCTCCAGAAAGCCCGGGACCTCTCCAGGAGGGTCTGAGAACAGAGAACTGGCACGGGTACACACATCTTTTCTCTACCTGGTGTTCTGTGTAACTACCTGAAAAGCTGGTACACTATTTTAACCTGTGCCTGAAGCTCCTCTCTAGCTCTAACCTTTTACATTTTATCAAAAACCATTTCAAAAATATTCTTTTATCTGTAAGACCAATAACAAAACAGCAACTATAAAAAGGAACGCTGCCCCTCCATATACTGCAGGAACAAAAGGCTGTCGCATCACACAAAAACGATCAGAAAGTCAGAATTCCATAAATATGTTTCTTTACCTCAATTTTTCCACAATGGGTTTAGCTGGTGTACTACCAGATGAGGAAAATCCATTGTCGCTGTCCGAGGAATCGCCAAACCTTCGGGAAAGCCAGTCCCTTAGTGGCCTATGGCAACAAAAAGAATTCACTTTTAGGCCAAGGTAGGGTGATCATTTGAAGCCAGGAGTTCAAGAGGAGACTGGGCAATGTAGTGAGACTCTATCTCTGAAAGAAAATAGAGATATCAGGCAGATGTGGTGGCATGTGCCTGTATCCCAGCTACTCTGGGAGGCCGAGGGAGGAGGATGGTCTGAGCCTGGAGTTGGAGGGTGCTGTGAACTATGATGATGCCAGCACACTACAGCCCAGGCAACAGAAAAAAACTATCTCAAAAAAACAAAAACAGAAGAATTCACTTTTAAAATCTGGCTACAGAAAGACGTATGGAGGTTATTTTTATTTTTCAAGAAATATAAACATACCTGATAAAAGGGATGGCCATAAAAAATTTATTAGGGGCCAAACCAAGTTTGGATTTGGGGGTCATGTCATTTCTATGACAAGGCAATTTCTCAATGGAGAACCACTCGATGTTCTGAAACACACAAGAAAAGCATTCATTTAGTTAATTATTAGGAAGGCGTTTCAAACAGGATACCGTCCAGCAACCTGAAAATACTAGCAATTGTTACGTACTCGAATTTCTCTTCTGGTTTTCGGGTTAAATTTTGTATCTTTTGGAACTCCTGGAATGATGTACAAACGAGCGAGCTGGTCATTGATTCGAAGTTCAATGTAATCATCCTTACAAATGTAGTCTTTGATATCAAAACCAGTTTCTTCAAAGACCTGGAAAAACAAACATGTACGAAATTTTTACTTGTAGCCGTTAGATCTCCAGTTCATTAAAATTTATCTCAAAGACAAAAATCTTAAGAAGAGGAGACATGATTTGTATTTGCTACTTCTGGAAATGGCAGAATAGGTACAGGAGTACAAGTGTGATTTGACAAAAACAAAGTTCTTGCGTCCCACTCGTCTTTCTCCCATGACCACCATCTGGTACCGTGGGGCTACAGAGAAAAAGTACACTGACGTGCAACCTGCCAAAACTATACACCATTCTCAGGATAGAATTCTGAACACTCAGCGATATGAGGACTCCCACCTTCCCAAATCTGAAAATTCACATACAGAAGACAACGGGATTAAACCATCAAATCGTGTGGCTTGATCTCATCATTCACACACGCTGTCTGAGCGCTCTTCTTAGAGCTGAGGTCCCGAGGCTTTGGTTCTCTTTCTTTGAAACTAAGGTCTAATCTACCGCTTGAGACAGAGATTAAAAAACGTTTAATAAATCAACCTTAAGGGATTATTACAGTTGTGACAATTATGAATAGTTCACCTGAAAGTTTATACATCGATATAGGAAATGGTTTCTCTTGGTTAAAGACCCCTTAAGAGAGCCAAAGGAAAAACATAACAGAAGACGCTGCATGTTCGTATCTAAAATACATTAAAACTCATAAATATGCACAGATACAGGTCAGTAAGAAAACAGCCAGACTATTAAAACTGGGCAATATGTAAATGGGTACTTAATAAAAGGGGCTATTCTAATGGCCACTGAGAACAAATGTGACAAGGCGCTAAAATGATTAAACTTCAGGAAAATGCAAGTTAAAAACCACAAGCGTATACCATTTCCTTCCCCCCGGAGGAGCTAAACTTTTTAGTTTGACCGCTGGATGTATAGGCCTGGATGCAGCAGGCTTGGCTAGTGGGAACGCAAACTGGTACAACTGTTTGGGAAATTGTTGGCAGTCACCTCCCTGTGACTCACACCAAGTCCTGTCTTAGAGAAGTGTGGGCTCCCTTCCCTTAGAGAACATATAGAAGAAAGAGGCACAGCAGCGTCACTCCCGGCAGCGGAGCCTAGATGCCACCCAGTATATAAGAAACGGACAATGAACTGTCATACTGTTTGTACACGGGAATACTACAGAGAACAATGAAAGCAACTCTGAATACGGAGCGTGCAACAAGACAAATCTCACAGGCATGAGACTGATCCAAAGAAGCCAAACGCACACCAAAAAAACAGCAACTACAGCAAAGTTTTATTTATATGAAGCTCACGAACAAGAAAAACTAGCCGGGTGCAGTGGCTCACACCTATAGTCCTAGCACTCTGGGAGGCCAAGGCAGGTGGACTGTTTGAGCTCAGAAGTTAGAGACCAGCCTGAGCAAGAGCGAGACCCTGTCTCTAAAAAACACAGAAAAACTAGCCAGGCTCTGTGGCGGGCCTTGTAGACCCAGCTACTTGGAAGGCTGAAGCAAGAGGATCGCTTGAGCCCGAGAAACTGAGGTTGCTGTGAGCTATGGTGATGCTACAGCACTCTACCCAGGGTGGCAGAGTGAGACTCTGTCTCAAAAATAAATAAGAATAAGCAAAACTAATCAGCAGTAAGTAACAGAAGGTAAACAGAGAGTCCTTTCACTAAGTGTAGAAAAAGTACTGATTGAGAAGTGGCAGGCAGAACTCTTCTGAGGTGCTGCAAGTGGTGGTTTCACAGGTACATACACATAAAAATTAATACACTGTTGAGTGTACTTTATGTATTTTACCTTCAACAGAAAAAGGTCTAAAATATAATTTACATATGGCTCTTAATCCTATTTTTACTTAATCTCTTTAGCTTCCTTCTTTGAATACATACCTCATTGTCGGAAGTATACATGGCTAGTCACGTCTATCTGTATAATAATTAGAAACTACGCTAAAGGTAAACTGTTTTATCTAAACTCCTTGTGGGCAGAGCCTATTATCTGTGTATTAGAAACAGCATCTAACTAAACAAAAAAGGCACTGAAGGACAAAGGAACTGTTTCGGTTCAAAGGAGACTGTTCAGACATGTCAATTAAATACAAACGTACTAAATGAGCCGAGATGGGATTCTGGATGTGTGCTTGGGTGGAAACCACAGAAAAGACCTTAATGGGCAATTAGTGTACTTGAATAGGAACCGTCGGCTGGATAACATCCATGTTACATTCCTGAATTTGATAATTACACTGTAATTACCCTGGGAGAATCCCTTGTTTTTAAAAGATATGGAGAAGTATGTATTTATCAATAAAGTGGCATTATGTCTGCAATTGACTCTTAACTAATTCAGCAATAATAAAAACCATATACACATACGCGAACATAGCAAAACATTAACACGGGCCTATTCTTTGTATCACTCCAGATGCTTTTCTATTTGAAATTATCTCATTAACATAACATAATTCTATATGAAATTATCTCATAACATAATTTTCATGGAGCAGTGTACAACCAAAACATTTAGTTCTTTTTAGTACATTCACTCCAGTAGGTACTGTATGCTTAGTAAGTGACACTGTCCTAGGCAGCCAATTCAGTAATGAATAAAACAAACACTGTCCTTCAAGGAATTAAGTCTAAAAAAGAAAAAACTAATTGTATTATGATGTTTAAGAGTTAAGAGGTAGGAAGAGGGCCCCTAACTCGGCCTTCAGCAGAGGTGTGTGAGTGTCGGGAGGTCACCTCTGGAAGTCTGTCAGGAAAGCATCTTATTCTGCTGGACAACCTGGAGCTACGATTTAAAAGATCAGCAAGAGTTTTCTGCATACATAAGAAGAAAACGGCATTCCATTTAGAAGCTGGGATTGGCTACGACTGAAGAAATACGTGGGGGGAAGTGGTACAGAAAGAAGCCAGATGAAAAGGACACCCCCAGCACTAACACAGGCAGCTTCAAACCAAGCAACCAAACCCAGAATGAAAACAACAGCCATGATGCCTCCCAACTCAGCAAGTGATAAAGACAGATCTGTTCTGAAATTGGCATTCACTCTTAAATAAGTTTTAATAGCTGACTCACATGTACAAACTCCAAACACAATTTTAATACTATGCCTTCTATGAATCAAATCTATTTACTCTTAACTATGTGTAATAATACAGTGTTAATTTTCCTGGCACATGAAACAGCATTAACTTCTCAAACTTTATCACGTAAAAATTTCCATGTAAAATGTTTTTTAAGAAATGTTACCTAGACCGGGCACGGTGGCTCACGCCTACAATCCCAATACTCTGAGAGGCCGAGGAGGGCAGATTTCTTGAGCTCAGGAGTTCAAGACCAGCCTGGGCAAGAGCCAGAGCAAGACCTCCATTCTGCTAAAAATAGAAAAACTAGCCAGCATTGTGGCCGGCACCTGTATCCCAGCTAATAAAGAGGCTGAGGCAAGAGGAGTGCTCAAGGCCAAGATTTGGAGGTTGCTGTGAGCTGTGATGCCAGAGTACTCTACCCAGGGCAACAAGGTGAGATTTTGTCTCAAAAAAAAAAAAAAAAAAATTAGCTAAAGAGAACCAGCACAGAAAGACAGTGAAATTCTGTCTTATAAGCCTATCAAAAGAAATAGACTAAGCCAATGAGTAGTTTCCCTGTATAAATTCTCTATCAATTAAATCATATAAATGCATATTTAAAGTCAGCTTCATTACAACAAAACATATTGTTTTGCCAAATAAGCTGCAATATGAAATCTTAAAATTACGAGTGAACTGCCAAGTATCATTTGCTTATTCTCAAGAACAGCTGGTGTTTTACCACAAATGACAACAAAAATACACCGAGGCTGTTATGCCTTCAAAAATATCTAGGAAACACTTTTCACATCTTCGTCCTATTAAACTAAATTCACAGAAGGCCATGCTTTGGGCTCATTTCCTGCCCTAGTTGGACCAAACAGAGCAAATCCAATTGAAGTTACTCATGCTAAAGTCTCATGTCCCCAAACAGAAACTAAGTTTTTATCTGGCCTTTAAGGAATCAGAAGAGGAAGAGGGAACAGCCAAGTCCCCGACGGCCCAGTTCTGAACACCATAAGGCCGTCCCCTTTGCCTTAACCTTTATAGGGAAAGTAACTGAAACGGCCTGTTTCTGTTTCGTTCTCCATTTCTGCTTTCCTCAGTCCTTTCCTGCTTTAAAACCAACCTTCTTTGTGAGGAGGCTGGACAATGTAGTGAGACCCCCATCTCTAAAAAAAAGGGTTGAAAATTAGCTGGGTGTGGTAGTACATGCCCATAATCCCCGCTACTGGGGGAAATAGGCAGGAGGATTGCTCACCCAGGAGTTCAAGGGGACAGAGACTTTATTTCTTTAAAAAAAAAAAAGAAAGAAAGAAAGAAAGCATTAAAAGAAAAAGAACTCCAAGCTCCTCTGTTCAGCTAATCAAAACATTATTTCTATTTTTTGGACTGAAGTGTTGCCTGATTCTAGAATTGGAAACAAAGCCAGCTCCAATCTTTAATTGTTGTAATTTTGTCTTCTGATGGCCCTAAATCTCCTTTACTGAATAAAATTCTTCATAAATAAGCAAATTAATAAAGGTGAACCAAGAAGAGACTGGAAATTACTTAAGACTGTCCTCAGCTTTCTACTGGTAATTATTTATACCCTCTCCCCGAGAAGCTTGTCTGCCAAAGCTTCTGTACGCTCAGCCCACATACACAGTCCCACTTGTGCCAAATTCTGCTATAGCATAACAAAACACCTCCGGACTGCCATGTATAATGAAATAATAACGTAACTGCAGGAATGCTATAATAAGCCAGATAAAAACGCTATTAGCAGCTGAACGGTAAGCATCCCCCGTAGAACTGTACAACTTAAAGGGAAGCAAACAAGTGCTCAAGATACCAGCCCAAGTTTAATTAGCAGCTAGAAAATTAGGACAAAACCTTTCTCTATATGTTAATATAAATAAAAATTAAAAATTAAAACGAGGCATTAAGAAACTGTAAAGAAAGGATTAACAATCTGGTTTACAAATAAAAGACTTCAGGTGGTTTCCTGCTTTCGAGCCGCGGAGCTTCCACTACGTATTATGCTGCAGTGCCACCAAGTGGCAGAAGGATAAAGTGCAATTCTAGGACTTCATTGAGTAATCATTTAAAAATGGCAGCGGCTAGAATCAAGTAAGGTGGCTTGGACTAGGCAGCCTCCAAAATTGCCCCCACTTTCCCACCCTAAGAATATATTTTATTCATATACTTTCTTACAAATTAAAGTGAGTTATAGTCTACCGAAATTAGCACCACGCGAACACAACAACCTTTTATCTTAGTATCTTAAAGCAGAAAACAAATATAATAACCAAGCAGAAGCTGGGTGCCTTCGTTCCTGAGTCAACTGCCTCTTTCCCCAAATATCCTATTTCTGCATTATCCCTACTTCCAGCTACTTGGGAGGCTGAGACAAGAAGTTCACTTGTCTGAGGTTACTGTGAACTGTGACATCACAGCACTCTACTGAGGGTCACAAAGTGAGACTCTGTCTCAAAAAAAAAAATTTTTTTTTTAAAGTTAAACTTTATCATAGGTATGTAAGTATAGGAAAATACACACTATACATAGGGCTCCCTACTGTCTATGGCAGGCATCCTCAAACTACGGCCCACGGGCCACATGCAGCCCACCTAGGACATTTATCTGGCCCACCAGGTGTTTTCGCCACCGCTGCCTGTCCAGTTAGCAGCCAACTCGTCCCAGGGCCTGCAGTCCAACCCTCCAACAGTCTGAGGGACAGTGAACTGTCCCCCTGTTTTAAAAGTTTGAGGACCCCTAGTCTATTATGTCAAGATCCACTGGAGATCCCTCTGCAGTTAACAGGGGACTACTGTGTTTGGTTTCTCCCAAGTTTGCACCAAATGATCTACTTATAGAGATAGGTAATTGCATCCAATTGAACCTAAATTTCTGTTATTCTGGCTAATGTTATGTCCATTTCTAACGTGGACAACCTGTTGTGGGAAACCTGTAGCCTTGAGACTGCATGTGCCCTTCTGGATCCAAGAGTATGGCTTTGTGTCTGAATCCAAATCTTATAAAACAAATCCTTTTTTTTTCTTTCTTTAGAGACAGAGTCTCACTTTGTCAATCTAGGCAAAGTGCCATGGTGTCACAGCTCACAGCAACCTCCAGCTCTTGGGCTTAGGCAATTCTTTGCCTCAGCCTCCCGAGTCATTGGGACTACAGGCACCTGCCACAACACCCAGCTATTTTTGTTGTTGTTGTGCAGTTTGGCCAGGGTCAGGTTTGAACCCGCTACCCTTGGTATATGGGGCCAGTGCCCTACTCACTGAGCCACAGGTACTGCCCTGGAACAAATCCTTTTACTCAGGAGATTTCTGTGAAATCTGGACTCAGTCAAGGGGCTGCACTTGAAAATCTGGAAGTCCACCTGTGGACTTGAGGCCACAGGTCCCCCACCCCTGAAAGACTTTTACAACTGTTCTGCCATCTACAGAAAGGAAAGAAAAAGCTCTTAGAGGATATAGTGATTTTTCACCTTCTTCCCTCCCAAACAGCTTTCAATTTTAAGGAATATAACTTTGTCTATAAGTTGTTGCAAATATTAGCTTGGATAAGATATTCCAAACTGAATTCAAAATACAGCATTTTCAATCATATTGTCAATTCTATTTCCAAAGTAAATAGTATCTAAGTAGTATCTAAGACTCTTAACGATTACCCCTTATTAATAGTTACACCAGACTAAAACCAGACAGTAAACTCTGTTGCAGGAAAATGTTATGTTAAAAAACAGGCAAGGCAATGGATTCTAATGAAATATGCCACAGAATCTTATTACTGTCTCCAAAATTCTCAAACAGAAATCACTACGTTAGACTTTTTTTTTCTTAAAAGTATCTCTTCTAGTTATGAAGCCTTTGAGTGACTCTCCTTAATAAATTTACATCTTGACCAGAGGCTATACCAGAACAAAACTCTTTCACCTCTCAGGACAGTACCCTTTCCATGTGTCATACTTTCTATGGCTCAACTTCTTCAATTTCAACAATAAAGCATAACGTGATAAAGGACAAGGAACTGATAAATAAAAATAGAGCACACAATCCACCACAAGGTACTACATGACAATAGTTGCTATTAAAGTTCAGAGACTTCTGTGGGCGTCAGATGATTGGTAAGCTTTTAAAATAAAATTGTAGGTAAGAAAGGACTTCAGAAAATATCTATTCTAAACTAATTTTACAGATAAGAAACAGACAGAAACCTATGTGGTGGTTTCCCCTTCAGGGAAAAAGAATTTGAGCTGGGTTTAGAAATGCGTGTAGATAGGATCTGGATAGGAAGAAAGAAGATGCTCTAAGTGGGGGATTACTATTAGAAAATATTAGAGGCCGAGACAAATCAGTCAAAATCAGGGGCAGAGAATAAACACTTCTGACCGAGAATAAGATGAATTCAGAGGCTCAGCGCCTGTGGCTCAAGCAATTAAGGCACCAGCCACATACACCTGAGCTGGTGGGTTCTAATCCAGCCCGAGCCCACCAAACAACAATGGCGGCTGCAACCAAAAAATAGCCGGGCATTGTGGCAGGCGCCTGTGGTCCCAGCTACTTGGAAGTGGAGGCAAGAGACTCCCCTGAACCCAGGAGTTAGAGGTTGCTGTGAGCTGTGATGCCATGGCACTCTACCCAGGGCGACAGCTTGAGGCTCTGTCTCAAAAGAAAAAAAGAAAAAGAAAAGATGAATTCAGCAATGGCTAAGTTTGTGTTGGGGGAGGGGACAGAGCTTAACACTTAAAAATTAAACTTCATCCTCTCAGCAGTGGAGCACTAGAGTCTGAGCAGCAAATGTAAATTTCTTAGAAAAACCAAAATTGTGCATTTGTCTGGAAGCCAACACTACATAAAAAACAAGGACTACAAGTGAGATGGGTGCCTGCAGCCTCATCACCCCCATAAGATGGATGTCGGCAGCCTCAGGACAGCCTCACACCACCCCCCAGGGTAGGAGGAAGGGGAAAAAGAGGTAAATGCAACGATGCCAGTACCATTCCTCTTACATCAGTCCAGATCAGGCTGGGACAGGACAAGATAAGAACAGATGGCCAAGAACTGTCATCACGAGCGTTAACAAGCTAAGTGCTGTGACAAGTGGTTTTACTTGTCCATTAGTTGCTGGATCTGGATTACGTTACTTTATTGTTATCTAACTGCCCTTTAGGTTACCTACTGGCTAAACCCCTAAATCGCAAGGTAAATCGCAAGGTTTGCTTCTGTAAAGGGTCATCGTGACCCCGTGCTCGCTTTTTGCTTCTTTTGCCAATTTTCTTTTTACTTTTAATTGCTGACTTTCAGCCCACCTGTTTGGCTCGTTGCCGACTTTCAGACTAGAAAACCCCCAACTTCAGACCCCTCGATGCTCTCTCACTTAGTCTGCTGTAGACTTTGCTGAGACAGCCCCGCGGTTCATAAAAGACTCCTTTTGAAATTCTAACTTGAGTCAGTGGTCCTTAATCTCACCCCATAACACAAGAGCCAAAATGTTTCCTTAATTGCAAATCTAAAGGGAGGAGTGGGAAAATCACCATCATGAAGAAAGGAGCCTAAGAGATAGAAACAGATAAGAGAATAAATAAATAATAAGAGATACAGACAAAAGAATCAATATTTAAGAAATGTAAGTTACTTCAGCATTCAAATCCTGAAAAGAGAGTTAGTCCAAAGAGGTCTGTATGGCTAAAAAAAAAAAGACAATACATTCAGAGACCAACAGTCCGGCTCACTGTTTCAGAACGCAGCAGGAACTCACCTCTCTAGCAGCACAATCATGAGGAGCTTCTTCTTTATTTACTTTTCCTTTTGGAAATCCCCAGCCTGATTTTGCTAGGTACCCCTGAACCAGTAGTACCTACGAAACAAGCAGAGGCAGAAATCAAATTCGCCCTCCTTTCCCATGAGCCTTCCTAAAAGCAAAGGTATTCTTCTCCGTACTTCAGGTAACTTTTATCACCGATAATTTTTAAGTATGAGTCTGAATACACTACTAGAAGTATGAAGGCATTCGGTCCATTTGGAAAGTGCTTAAACAATGAAGTGATACCTTTTGGTACAAAGCCCGAGATGCGACCGTCTAAGATCTTAAGACCCAGAATGCAGACAAAATATACAACATTTGGCCTTTTAGTACCCAAAATCTAAAAATCTCTTAAAGCTTCAATTCAGAAGACTATCTTAGTAACACGTTTTGTTAATGGGCTAAAAATTGAGTTGATCACTTTTTCACTAAACATCTTGTGACTTCATTACACTCACATTTTCAAGTGTCTCATCAAGAATAATTGCACCATATGTTGGTACTCCCATTTTATATTCCTTCCATTCATCCAAAACCTTTTCCACATCTTCACCTTGAGGCAGCAAAAACGGACAGTGACTGAAGAGTATGAACAAGGTCAAGGAAGCTACTTTCTCCCTGATCGCAGCTTGTGGCGTGCACAGAGAAACCTAGCCAAACCAAGTGTGCGTTTTATGTGAAATTACTCCAATCCTCACCTTTTAGAATGTGACATGTTTATTTTTGTTTGTTTTCCACATTTGTTTTCTCTTAATCAAGTCATGGTTAACTTCTGCATTTAGCCTAGACACAAATCAACTAATTTTTGAGTATTCATACTCCTGGATCCCTACGTTAATACAAATACATTCAAGACCATGTAAACACTTCAAAGGCTTCTCCTTTAGTGATTCGAATTCATTACACTAGGGAGTCAACAGATAACGAAGCAATGGCAAGGAACAGAAGTACAGGACGTATACACTGCTAAGAGAAAGAAACCATCAGAAAAAGAAGAAAGATAAAGTGGTTAATTCCAAGAAGCAGCACGAGGGATGAGGTTTACCTTTCTATCCTGCTGACTTACTGTTTCTATAACGAAAAACATTTTGACGATGAAGCTGTAGGATTACAGCAAAGGTAAATCTGGATACTAAGGAAAGTATAGCAGGTTTCAAAAACACTAGGCATGCTCCCCCCCCCCCAAAAAAAAATTGGGCAGTGAAATAGTCAAAAAAAGAAAAATAAGCTCAAAGCATGAAAGTCTATGCGCCCAGGCTTCCAACACTTCATGCCATCAAATGCCTCATCACTGTAACATTGTTAATTACAAAAAGCACGGCCAGGCACTGTGCCTTGCACTTAGAATCCCAGCTACTTGGAGGCTGAGGTGGGAAGACTGCTTGAGGCTAGGAATTCAAGACCAGCCCCAGCAACATAGTGAAATCCCTATAAAATAATTTTAAAAGTTAGCTGGGCATTGTGGTAAGGCCCCACAGTCAAGCTACTCCAGAGGTGGAGGGAGGAGGATCAAATCCCTTGGCAGGAGGAGTTTAAGGGTGTAATGAGCTATGATCCCAATAGAGAACTCCAGCCTGGGTAAAAGAGCCAGACTCTAGCTCTTAAAAACAAACAAAAAAAATGGGTGGCGCCTGTGGCTCAAAGGAGTGGGGCACTAGCCCCATATGCCGAAGGTGGTGGGTTCAAACCCAGCCCTGGCCAAAAACTGCAAAAAAAAAAAAAAAAAAAATTATTAAAAGTATAGGAAAAATTGTAACTTAAGAAAGGGTTTCTCAAACTGAGGACATACTTTTAAGGGTTCTCAAATCCCCTTTAGAAATTTGTATACTCTGTGCTTTCATTTTGACGTTACTCTAAAAACATGTAATATGAGTATGTTCTCAATTATCTAGAATGATGATCACACGTATCAAACACTGCCACTTGATTCGAGCCCACGCCAGTATTAGCACTACTTCAATTACTGTGCGCTATTAAAAACAGAAGAAACCTAATACACAAATGAGGCCTTAGGGTCAAATAACATCCCAGCATAACACAGCAAGGAAGGTTTCTCAGCAGATGGAGCAAAGTGGTAAAAGCTGGTTAATGCAGGTAAGTCGAACTTAAACATCGTTAAAGGGGGCAGCGTTACAGTCACATTGTCATGAGAAGCTTGGTTTAAACAAAAAATAAGACATTAAGTTCATATTATTAATTTACATTTTATGAGTTCTACAGTTTTATAATTTAAAGTTTGTTTTGGTTTTACAATTGTAGTAAGAACAAAATAGGCTCTCAAGGAGTCCAACGAAGTCAACCGTCTGTGACAATACTGTACACGTGTAAGGTTAATCTCAACATAATTAGTCCGTGTCTTATCTGGGGAGGGGGGAAAAGGTAAAATCCTGGACACAATATTAACCATTCCAGGAAGCCCTGTGGTCCTATAGAGGCTTGCTATGATTCTAAAAGGCATTTCCCAATAAAAGTCTTGCTCTATATATTTAGTAAAGTCCCTAGCAAAACTTCAGCCTAGGAGCAAATCCAAGATACCCTTATCTATATCCACATTGCTGAGTGTTTACTGAAGAAAAATACAAAGCTATGCACAATTTATAAGATAAAACAAAGGCACAGACAAGTCCCACAATTTGCCCAAGGATGCCCAACTAGTAAATGGCACAGATAAGACGCTAACTCAAATGCTAGTGATGCCTACCTGTATTATGCGCTCTTCCCACTCCAGTACCCCACAGGTACTACAAGCTCCACTAGTCCATAACTGAACCCCTCATTCCCCTCACTAAATTTCTTGTTTCCCAAATGGCACGCTGTTCACTGCACAGCTCACACCAGAAACCTGGGTATCACTTTTTATTCTACCTCTCCTCAGATATCCACGGTATCACCGGTCTGCCTCCCACTATTTTCCAAACTGACCTCTTGACTTCACACACAGATTTTTCCCTATCTTTCCAGCACATTAACAAAACAGCACTTAACTAAGTTCCCATCTCTGGCCTTGCCTTCCTCCAATTCACTGTCCACACTATTCCGGAGTGGTCTTTCAAAATGCCCTATATGGAGAAATACAGCAAATATGGATGGATATGGATGAAGGGCAGACGACAGTCATGTCCTCTCACCGTCTCTGGGAGTGGAAGTTTTTCCTCCCAAAGCTCCTATACGCCTATTATTCTTTTTCAAACAAATACAGCCCCTCCATGTTTTAGCATCTAGTTACTCACAGGGATCATCTCATCTCTCTCTACTTACTCTAAAAAATATCATATTTAACTCTTTTCCCCTCTTCATATAGATCGCTTACTCCAAGGAAGGCTTCCATCTAGCCTCTCGATCTTTTACTTTTTTGGGGGGGGGGAGAAATAGTTAATATTTACTGATCGCTCACTCACAGCCAGGGACAATTCTAAACAATTTACATATACAAATTAACTTGATTCTCAAACTGACCCTTTGAATTAGGTATTATTAGTAAGCTTTTTTTTTTTTCACAGTTTTTGGCTGGGGCTGGGTTTGAACCCACCACCTCCAGCATGTAGGGCTGGCGCCCTCCTCCTGTGAGCCACAGGCACCGCCCTTCAGCTTATTTTTTTTAAAAAGAGGAACTGGGATCCTTATCCAGGAGAAATTAAATTAACTTACCCCAGATTTTTCAGGGGTCTCAAGTTGGCATTCAGACTCACAGCCCCCAAATTAAGAGCCCTTCTCTATTCCCACTGAAGAAGCCTGCACGAACCCAGCGCTCCTACTGTCCTGTGCTGTGACCATTCCCTGTCCTGTCTCTCTCATCTTCATACAGTGACTGAATCTGCCTTGTTCCCTGCAGAACGCCTGGCACAGAGGAACCACTGAGTTATTTAACCAAGTCCACCACGTCAGCCATAAAGATTCCTTCTCCATATAGCTTAACGAGAAGAAACACAACTAAAAAGTTTTAGATGTTTATTTTTAAAAGCAAGGAAAAGTGTAAAACTCACATACATACAGGAACGAAATCTTACCCAGAACCCCAAAGGATGTAAACTTGCTCCGGTAGAACCGTAAGTCTGTATAAGACCAAAATAAAAGGGGAGGTGGTTGCACTAATCCTGTTTCCATAACTAGGTCGTAACTACTTAAAAACCAGACTTTTCCATGATTTGGCCACAGAACCTATCACCAAAGACGGTGATCGACACACGGTGATTGACACACGGACTTCTGTCCCCTTTGATTCCTCACTAACTTCCACGAGTTTCGTCAAATGGTTTGACCATTTTTTCCTTTGAAATGTGTCCCCTGCCAGTGCTCTTGGCAGTTCTGCTACTATGGCCCAGACCTTCCTGCTTCACATCTCAAGTTCAACCTATCCTGCCAAATAAATTGGATACAACTTTCAAACGATCAGAGGAATACTCTTTATCCTCGCTCAAAAGCTTCTCTGGTTAACAGCTGCCCAGAACCACCCCACCCGTGTTTCATCCATTTTCTACGTAGCCCTCAGGGGTCCACAGTTCACAGGGCTTAAGTGACAGGGAACTAGGAAAAAGCATGAGGGTATTTCAGATCGCCCATCTCTCCTCCAACTCTAGTCCTAGTACCCAAACTTGTGGGTTCCATGTGAACATACATTTTATAGTTAAAAACCACCACCTACAGAATAAAATTCTAAGCACCTTGGCTCAACATTTGAGAGACCACACAATGCTCGCGACATCTTTTCAATTGTATCTCCTATTACAGCCCCATTTCAGAACCCTCTGCTCAAAATAAATGATTCCTGAGATGTCTAAAATCTCTAATTTTGTTCAATCCCTTTTCTTTACCTAAAACATTCCCTACTTCTACTTAGAAATCCTATATTCCCTTAAAGATAGTGTTTTGCCTAAAATCTTCCCATGCTTTTTCCAGATTCTAAACGCATTTAATATCAGGACCGTTAGCAATTCTTTGCCTTGTGTCACAGCGACTTTTAAAATCTTAAATATTCATGTGAATCTTTTATAGCTAATAAATTACGACAAGCTTCTGCCTAAAGGGGAGAGCTTCTTTGAAAGCAACGACTTCTTAGTATTTGAGACGGAACTAAAAACAAAATGCTTGAAACATAGTAAATATTGAGTAATCACTTAGGAAATTTCTAAACAAATCAGAAAGGTACTAATCTGATAAAGGTTATCTGGTTAAACGGACCAGCAAAAGTGAAGTAAAAAACAGATCGGTTCTACAAATAGGCTAGCGATTTCACAAAGATAATCAAATGTAATTCATCAGTGCACATTTTAAGGAGTCCTCTGTATAAAAATAAAAACACTATTAAATTGCTACTAACATTTACATTTGACACTTTTTAGATATCAAGTATGTTTGAACTAACAGGTTAAAAAATCTGATACACAAGTAAAAAGAAATCTGTGTTAAATACTTTACTAACAAGAATGAATGACAGTCATAGTAATAAAAAGGATATCAGCTTTAGCAAAGTCTCTTATCCCACACTGAGGTAATCCTGGTGTGTTCTGCATGTAGAAATCCAAGTAAAACCAATGGGCAAGTTCAATCTGAAAACACACTCGGATTGCATTGTCTCTTTCCTCGCTGGGAATATGCAAAATAAATCGGCTGTCAAAAACAAAACACATACAAAAATTACATTTACAAGCTGTAACAATTAATTTTAAGGTATTCAATCACTTCACCTCTGATCCATCAGCTTAGAAAAGGGACCACGAGCAGTCCTGATGAAGGAAACAATCAGTATGTGGGGGGAATTACTACAACAAAGATGAGCCTTTAAAAAAAAGAGAGAGAGAAGTTTGCAATCTCATCCTAGAAAAAAGTGCTACATACCTCACTGCTGAATAGCACTATAATCACCTTCAAGGACTATTCCCTTGGAAAGCTATGCACCAACACGAGAGAGCTGTCATCATGTATGGCCTGACAATTAAGTTCACAAACTCATCCTAGAAAAAGTGCTACATGGCTCGGCGCCTGTAGCGGTTACAGTACCAGCCACATACACGGAAGGTGGTGGGTTCGAACCCGGCCAGGGTTAGCTAAACAACGACAACTGCAACAAAAAACAGGCGGGCACCTGTCATCCCAGCTACTCAGGAGGCTGAGGTGAGAGAATCGCTTCAGCCAGAGAGTTTGAGGTTGCTGTGAGCTGTGACGCCAGGGTACTCTACCAAGCACGACATAGTGAGACTGTCTCAAAAAAAAAAAAAAAGAAAGAAAGAAAGAAAAAGTACTATACACCTCACCGCCAAATATCACTACAATCACGAGATGGCCTAGGGGAGCGCTTCAAGGGTGACCCTGGTGATATCCAGCCATGGGGCATGTAGCACTGTTTCTAGGATGAGTTCTCTAACTTAATTGTCCAGCCTCGTATGTAGCCTCTGTTGGCAAGGACAGAAATAAACTGTTCACTAACAACAAATTAAAAGGAAGCAAGGAAACGACCTTTACTAGGATCCCCTCTCACACCTGGTAACATCTGTAAGAATACATGTAAATACAGTTACACAATTGAATTTTAAAAATGGGATGTTGCTTAATCTCCGTATGTAAACTACTACCAAGAAACATTAGAGATTGATATTCTGTTGTTCATTAATACACTAGACTTTCCAAAGAGCCTCATCTGCAGAGCCCCAGTTGAAACTAACTTTCAAACATACTTACTTTTTAAAATCCTAAAGTGTCTGTTCCAAGCACATTGGGGAAAGGAAGGGATGACGTATTTTATATATAAATACACACTATATTATGTGGGTACGTGATTGAGGTAATAAATCCTTCCCGTGAAACATACAAGTTAAAATTTATAAATCTAAGTGGATATGACTTATGGCAGTTATTAAGCAGCTAGCAATTATTTCTTCTACCACTAAGTATTTTTGGAAATCCTTTTTTCTAGCAACCATCAGAGACAGATTCAACTAAGTAAAACTAGTGCATTGGATTTTAAGAGTCTTTTTTTTTTTTTGAGACAGAGTCTCATTATGTCACCCTGGGTAGAGTGCTGTGGCGTCACAGCTCACAGCAACCTCAAACTCTTGGGCTTAAGTGATTCTCTTGCTTCGGCCTCCCAAGTAGCTGGGACCACAGGCGGCCACCACAATACCCAGCTAAAGAATCATTTTTTTAATTAAAAAATCTCCCCACCAGTCTAATCACTTACATTATTCACCACCTATGAGGCTAAACAATTTTTGGCTATTTCCAAGTTTCAAATCAAATCTTAAAAAAACACTTTTACATTCTAATATTCACATAATATTCCAGTAGGGAGTCAACAAGTGACGAGACAATGTACATAAAATAATCTACATTTTAATGCAGTAAAATTATGGGGAGTCAGGTGTGTTGGCTCATCCATGTAATCCCAACACTTTGGGAGGCTGACGTAGGAGGATCACTTGAGGCCAGGAGTCTGAGAACAGTCTGGGCAACCAAGTAAAACCCTGTCTCTACAAAAAATAATGAATAAGAAGAAAATAAAGAAAAATTATGAGGGAATGAGCTTAAATTGTACACACACTAAAAACAGAAAGTCTAGCGTACAACCCCGATGGCATTATATAAGATATAAAAGCTAAACTCCTGTGTATGGCACTCAGAACCTGGTCTTTGCCCACCTGTACAAACTCTTACCACTCCAAGGTGCTGTGTATCTAGAGATGCCTAATTCTTGAAACTAAATTGCTATCCACAGGCTTTATCTGCCTTCTCTTTCTCTTGTTTCTTTAGCAAATTCCTAATTCATTCCTTGAGACTTAAAAATACTACCTTTTCAGGGCGGTGCCTGTGGCTCAAAGGGGTAGGGCACAGGCCCCATATGCCGGAAGTAGGGGTTCAAACCCAAGCCCGGCCAAAAAAAAAACCTGCAAAAAAGTAATAAAATAAATAAATAAAAATCCTGCCTTTTCTGTGTGAACACCCAGACTCCTCTGAATAGAAGGACGTACACTCACACTCCCTCCATGACAGCAATTATCAGATTTTCACGATTATTGCCCACAAACCTTCCCAAATAAGTAAGTTCGCTGAGATAACACACTGTATCCTTGCATATTTTTATTGTCTAGTGAACTGTCTAACACGTATTGCTAGTTATAATTTATCTTATGTTTACAGAGGTCCTCTTTCTGGCAAGATAGAGTAAGCACATACTACTCTGGTCCTCCTATAAACTCAGCTATAAAACCCAGACCATACACAGAGCAGCTATTTGAGAACTCTAAAAAGCAAGCAGCAGGGAGATCAGAGAGCAGCCGTATTCAGAGTGAATTCACCACTGTTCTACTCTCTCGTATTCCCTGGCCCGGACGGGGGCTGGAAGTCAGCATCCACAGTGACGGAGAGCTCCAGAAGGCCTCCAGTTCTAAGGATCAAGAGAGGAGTCTGGTCTTCTACTGCCTGGGGGACAGCAGAGGAAACGTCCCTTTGGTCGCCATTCTCTCACACCTCAGCCCCAAGCAATTCCATCATGGGAATAGAGGTGACAGCAACGAGGACCTGCACAGTCCAAAACCCTGAGCAACAGAAGCATTCCTCTCCAGTCTCAGGAGCTGGTGCTCCCCAAAGAGTAAGACCAGCTGCTTTTGCCTGTCCACCAGCGGCTTGGTCCGAGACACAGGCAGAGTCACATGAAGTGTGTGGCATGGTAGTTTTGATAGAACCATGAAGTACCAGGTAGACAGCTCAGGAAAATGTCCCCGTAAAACTATTCATGAATTGTGGGCTTAACCCCGAGTGTAGGCTATAAACACCAGGTTGTAGTGTTTGAGAACTTTACCACGAGACAGACCACTGCCCAAGCCCCCGACTGGCCACTGGATGGCTCACCCAGTACAAAAAGCACTGAAAAAACAAGGCCTCTTTTATCTGTTTTATTTAACTTACCTCCACATCTTAAATATATACAGATACATAATACATGTGTAGACACACACACATATATATGTGGTATGCGATTTATTTTCTCAGTTTGGGCATTTTCTTCTGCCACTGTGGAAAACGAGAAATTGACTCCCACTTCCGTCTCACACATCCTTCTCATCTTTCTATTCTCCCACAAAATTACGTCATAGTTTTGGTTAGCTCTCAACTCCTAATTCCACATTGAGAGGGGCTGTCCTGAACATTGTGGGATGTTCAGCTGCATCCTGGCCTCCACCTGCTAGATGTCAAGTTGCAGTAAGTAAAAATAGCTCCAGATAGTGCCAAATATTCCCTGAGGGGAACACAATCACTCCTGTTGATGATAATTACGAGGTTAGATGAGCATTCAATCTTCATCATGACTCTGTAAATGCAATCCACAACTAAGGTATGTGGTACACTGATTCCCAATTCCGGCACAATCCTTTCTTTTCCCCATAGTTAATACTTGTGGTCACTGCCTTTGCTTCATTTTCTCTGTACTTGTCACTAATTTCCTAAATCTCTCACTAATTTCCTAAATTTTTTCTCAAGATATTGTCAATAAACAAAACCAACACTGCAAAGTGGCAAGTAAAAGATTTTTTTTTTTTTCAGAGACAGAGTCTTACTTTATCCCCCTTGATAGAGTGCCGTGGCATCACAACTCAAAGCAACCTCCAACTCCCGGGCTCAGGAGATTCTCTTGCCTCAGCCTCCCGAGAAGCTGGGACTACAGGGGCCCGCCACAACGCCTAGCTATTTTTTTTTGTTGCAGTTTGGCCAGGGCTGGGTTTGAACCCACCACCCTCAGTATATGGGGCCAGCACCCTACTCACTGAGCCACAGGCACCACCCAAGAAAAGGTGTTTTAATTGGGATCTTAGGAATTGCAACTAGGGAGACATAAATCTAACAAGCAATTAAATCATGTTTTATCCAGGCAAGGTTAAGGCAGGAGCTTATCAGGGCTACTCTCTAAGTTCACCCATCTGGAGGGTTGTACACAGCTCATGACTGACAATGGCTGCCACCAGCTGATGATTACCAGCTTAAGATGTCTTTACTTTTTTTTTTTTTTATTAAATCATAGTTGTGTACATTAATACTATCATGGGGTACAGTGTGTTGTTTCCATATACAATCTGAAATACTTTCATCCAATTGGCCAACAAAGCCTTCATGTCATTCTCATAGTTGCTGTGTTAAGACATTTATATTCCACATTTAGAAAGATTCACG